GGCGGGGGCAGCGCTGGGGCCAGCAGCCGTCGTTCCCCGGCGTTACGAGGTGAAGCGCGCCGAGCGGGCGGGTTGCTGTTTATCTGGCGAAGCGCACCGGGAAATTCCCAGCGAATAAATAAATCCTGTGAACTCTGAAGGAGGAGCTTAGCCGGGGGGTGAAAGCAGAGAATTTTCTGGTATTGACACAGCCCTCTGTGTGTGTGTGTGTGTGTGCACTTGTGCATTTTGAACGCCTTCCTTGTCCCTGTGTCACTAACCGCCCCCTCCATTCTCCGCTGCAGGGAGGCGCCTGCCCTGCCCGCTGGAGCACACCAGGCTGGGGGGTCTTTTTTTTCCCTTAAAAAGCTACAGTGAGGCAGAGGAAGGATGCGTGCCAGCGTCTGGGCATAACGGTACGTGGAACCAGCCATGTTCTGCAAGTTTATTTTGGAGAAAGAAAACTTCATCTGCACGTAAGACTCTTCGCGGGCAGCAGGTCAGCGTATGGATCTTATGGAAGGGTCTATTATTTAAAATTCAGTGCAGACAGAATCCCTGTTGTGTTTCTCTCCCGTGGGAAAATACGAAATTTGCAGCTGACTTACACATATGATTGTTTGAAACGGAAACAGGAGGGAAAAACGTTGCTTTAAAGAAAACAGAAGATGAGTGGGACAGATGAAGCAATCTTTGAGTGTGACGAGTGCAGGAGCCTACAGTGCCAGCGTTGTGAGGAAGAGCTGCATCAGCCGGAGAGGTTACGGCACCACGAGCGGACCCGTATCAGACCCGGCCATGTCCCGTACTGTGACTCGTGCAAAGGCGCCAACGGGAACATAATGCACGCCAGCACACCGGGCTCGAGGCAGATCGCAGCGGTGAGGTGCCAGGTGTGCAAAATCAACCTCTGTGTGGAGTGTCAGAAGAGAACACATGCCGGGGGGAACAGAAGGAAGCACCCTGTCACCGTGTACCACGCTGGCAAAGCTCCAGAGCAGGAAGACGACGAGGGGATGGATGAGGAGACCAAGAGAAGGAAGATGACAGAGAAAGTTGTGAGTTTCCTCTTGGTGGATGAAACTGAGGAGATTCAGGTAAGAACTGCTGCGATTTGTTTGAACGGGCGAGATCCTTTAGTCGCTGTCTTAGTCTAACAGGCTGCTGCGGTGCATGATTAGTACTCAAAGCGTAACTGGCAGCAGCGGTGGTTAAGTGACACTAAGTGTGTATCTTGTGCCAAAAGGACACAGTGCCTTGGAGTGGCCTTGCTCACCAGTTCCTCGAAAGGTCAAGTCCATTAAAACCTTACGTGTGGCAAGACCCCCCTCTAAGAGGCTTGGTAGGCAAAGCTGGTGGAAGAATTGACTTTGTACTGAGGCACACACAACGAAGATAAGAGCACTCTGCGCAGGATGCTGATCATTCCTGAACAGAATTGAACTGAGAGTATTGCAGTAGATGCCCTACAAATGGGAGTGCTGTCAGCCAGTCTCCTACCGTATGACAAGGAGTGGGCGCTGTACCAAGAAGCGCAAATGCAAGGCCACGGCCCCCTGCTACCCTTCTTTAGCATCAGTAAATCCATCTGATTTTTTTAAATAGGACAAAGTGGAAATAGATGTCTAAAGGGTGCCATCCAAGTCCTACAGACACCATGGTTAAGCTGTATTGCTTGGCACAAATACTATTCCACGTTAGCCTTTTGCCGAAAGAGGAAGAAATTGGCCATCAGTTTGGGGTAGACCTGCTGGTAATTATGGTAGAACAGAAATACTGGTTGACTTGGAACAGTCTCTCAGGAGGCGTTATTTTACAGAATCTAGCATGCAATACATGCAGTTACTTAACTCTTCTGCTGGCCCTTACATTTGGTGAGCATAAGCACTTTACAAATGTAAAAACAGCAGCGTGTGAAAGTCACAGAGCAGGTTAATTACACAACTGAAATTTCAGCTTCATCTTCTGGCTTCCAGTTTGTATCTTTTGTATTAAATGTCATTCAGGAGACACAGAAAGAAAATGCGAGTTCGCCTGAAGACTCAATATCTAGTTGCTCTCGTTTAACATATTCGTGCTACCAGGAGTAAAAAGAATTGTGATGATATTCTGATTGTTGGTAGACCAGTTCTTTGTATCCATCATAGTAACAGCCAATGGGTCTGCCATGTATTACAAGGAAATATGACTTAAATATTTTGTATCTGTTCATAGTAGACTGTATGTATATGTATGTATGCCATATTTACACTATAGTATAGAATAGGTGCAAGATACTTAGGTCACATTTTGGTCAGTTTAGGTGTTCTGATTGATAAATTCTGGTGGCTTTTGGAAAGGAAAGGGAGGAAAGGATGACAGTCCCTGTGATGCACTGACAGAGAAAACACACTACGCAGGACACCAGGGACTGTAAATGTGAGTGACAGAGTTTCAGGTGTAGTAGCAGTCCTAAGTTTGTATGCCTCTCCTGAGCACACACACATTTCCTTGTAGTGCAAGGCAGATGCAACTATTGCTGTAAGATGCAGACTTTTCAGTAGTCTTCATTTAGCCACCAGAGCAAGGTCTGAAGTGCCTGAGAACAAGGCTGTCCTGGAAAGCTGCTCACAAGATGTGGCTGTGTATGGTTGCACCAGTTTGAGTTATCTTTAAACTCAAGAATCTGTAAGCCTTGTTGAGGCAGACTTTTGGCTGCCCCTTGCAAGCAAGTGCGTGCTATTTAAATGTCACAGGCAGTAAAGCCAACTTCCTTGTTGGGACAGCAATGGTCCTTTATCAGATCATAGCAATTTGATCAGAATGGGGTTGGAAAAGCTCTCAAAAAGTCATCTTCACTATCAAGATGTTGAATCAGAGCTCTTCCATCTGGAGTGATCTGCTCTTCCTCATAGCTGAATACTTACGTGACACCTCGCAGCCAGTCTCAAAGCAGTTTGAGGGTTTTCAGTTAAAATATTTTCTGGCAGCTGGAACTTAAAGAGTGCTTGCTGTTACAGTGGTGTTTGTGCTAGTGAGCATGAGGACGTTTATTTAGAGAGGGCTGTCAGATGACTAGCTAGCCCTGAAGACATCTTCTGTAGCATCTTTGGCTCTTGATAATACTCAACAGCCAATTTAACTATAGGAAGGTCATCCTCAGTCTTTTCTTTTGTGCTTGTCATTAGGAAGATTATTGCTGGTGGCCTGGGGAGAAATCCTTAGAACGTTATTCATTTAAACCAACTTTTTGTCCGAAAACACTAAAACAGTAATAACTTGAAATGTGGAGATACAAGGTTTGAGAGTGTATGGCTTTTTAAATTTGAGCAGACAGGAAAGTATTTATCAGAATTGCAGAGTACAGCTATCTTTAACCATCTGTTTTCTGACCTTTGGAACTTGAAGACTGTTGCATTAGGAAATAAGAGAGAGGAACCTGCTGATTTGCTGTCAGTGGTAGATTCTGCCATAGTAATGTCAAATGCTAGTCGTACAAAATTAGGCAGAACTAGTTATGCTGCTGAGCAAGCATAATGTATTGAGATACATGCTGAAATATACATGTTTACAAACTTCTAACCTGAAAGGAGTTCAATGAGATGGGAACACAAGACAAAGAGATTTCTCTTTCAGTTTCCTTTGGAACTTGGAGTTGTTCAGCTCAAGTAGTAATGTTTCATGTTATTCTTCCTGTTGGCTTCTTGGGGCTGATAGTTCTGAAACTCAAGGGCATTTATAGTGTGTAAGCAATGACTGAGCAAGTTCCAGATCCAGAAGCAATGCAGATTAATCCATAAGGAGCTGTGCCTAAGAAAATTAGTTTAGTTTAGCTGAGAGGTAGAGGTTCTCGGCTTGGGCTCAGCACTGCACTAATGAAGCTATGGTAATTCTGAGACCTGCATAATTGTCTTTGTGCCATGTTGCACAGATATGCTGGCCTGCTCAGAGATAGATTGGAGCTTTTTGTGCTTTGCAGACATAACCATAAGCTCAGAAAGCCGAGGACTTCTTGTGCTTGTTTCAAATCCACTTAGTCGGGAAAGGTCCCATTTTAAACCACTGCTTGAGAAGCAGTTGTTTGTAGAGAACTGATGGTAGCTTAAGCTCATACCTGTGAAATGCAGGCTTATCTGTGATATTCATTGTAATAACACTGTATCGGAGCACTTCAAGAAGAGATTGGTATCTCGTGTTAAGCAAATACCGTTGAAAGTTAAATCCAAGTTCATGCTGCAAGTCTGGGGAAGAACCAGGGAGAGAGGTTGTTCCTCATGGAGCCCAACCCCAGCTGTCACATGCCACCCAGTGTGATGCTTTGCGACTCTTGTGAATTAGTCCCCGGCCATCTTGACCTATACCACCAATTTTTCATTTCCTTCTTCCAGGACTTACTGCCCCTCAAAAGACCTTACTGACTTCTTCTATCAGAAAAAAAATGTCATCCATGTTTTACAAACTGCCATCACCTGCAGTTCAGACCTTATTCTAGGTCCTTTTTCTCAGGTTGTATTATGTAGTTTCACTTTACATGGTATTAAACTTTTGGCCTTATCTATTGTGTTTATAAAGCTGAGACTTCAATCAAATTGTTCTTGATAACTGCAGCAGCTGTTTGGTTTTGTCGCTGCTCTCGTTACATCTTCCGCATCTCCTCTTTGCCATGTTAGACTCCAGTTGTGTGCCTTCTTTTTTTTTAATGTGTGTAAATCCCCCAGCTGAACCTCCTGATCTGCTCTCAAGATGTCAGCTTTCCTTTCTTATCTTGTAACTTGCTGAATTTTCAAACAAGCGTCATTCTGCTGTCACTGGTGCTGCCCCTTGCACACAGAGGGGACTTCCCTTAAGAACTTAAAGAATCAGTTCCTTGGTTTTGTTTAGAACTCCCCTGTACTCGTAGATCTATTAAGACAAACACAGCAAAATGTAACAATAAAAACACCACTCAGGTTAGCATAGTTGTTTCGAGTCCTGATACTGTCTCACTGTCTCTTGAACTTTTCCACTGGTCTGTGCCTGTCTTTGTCTCTTGTTCTTATGTTTATGCAGTTTCTGGAATAGTATCCATTTTTGCCTTGTCTTTATACACCACTTTTGCAATAGAGCTCTTTAGCATAAAGGAGAGAGTTATGTATCAGTTGTACAGTGAACTCTATTTACTGCTGCTTCTGAGGTAAGGGAGAAGAAATGCTTAACAACGTGTAACAGCCATTGGATATTTTTATCTTGCAGAACAGATGTTGAGAGTTTTTACCACGGGATCAGGACTTGGTTGTGGTGTCACTAGTGGCTTCTGTGATAACGCTTTGTCCAAAGCCCTAGTTAAGGACTTGACACATATACTTTATAGAAGTAGAGAAAGTCTTTCGTTGACCCCAGAAGACGGGAGACATTCTTGATTGCTATTAGTCTGCCTTTAAGACTAAAGGCTGATCTACCAGAAACTAGCTCCGTCATAAGAAATTACCCGCTTTCTGGGTTACAAAGAAAAATAAAAGGTACTGACTTTGTAGCCTGTCTTACCAAGGAGTCAAGAAGAAAAGAAAGTTTTTCCTCTAGCTAGTGACAAAACCAATATCCCCAGCAGTATAATTTTATGTGAGAGAAAGGAGCATACATTTATTATTGGGTCTCCCCTGAGATACCCACCATGAGATACCCTTTCTTCAGTTAGCAGGTCATTTTGTTATGCCACTAGACATCTCCATTTCCTAAATTCAGCCCCATTCCTTAATTTCTTTTTATTCTGGCTAGCAGGGTTAGACACCTAAAGGATTAAGATCTTTCCCTCAGCAAATACTGAGCAGAATCTATATAATGCTTTCCAGTCAGTTTAGATGACGGAGAATGACCCGTAGCCCTTATTTAAATGCAGACCATTTTATACAATCATTAAATAACCAGCCTCTAAGAACGTAACAGTCTGTGTGTCCTCCTCTGTCCTCTCCTGTTATGAAGTTACACATACAGAGGGATAACTCTTTAGGGGTGCTAGCTGCTTTGCTTTTCTCACTGCCACTGTAAACGTGACGAAAGTGCTGTGATTTTTCTTCCTTACTATCTACTGATATGAGCCAGGCCAAAGTCTAGGGATGAGAGAATGGAGACTCGCTAGGAA